TATAAGAATGATGTTTTCTTCAACTAGTTTGATAAAATCTACCAATGAAAACATCTGGTCTTGGAGGGTTTGTGTGTGTGTGTGTGTGTGTGTGTGTGTGTGTGTGTGTGTGTGACCACTTTTGTAATTGTGTTACAAATTCAATTTAGTTAAAGCTCTTTTTTTGTTTTGCTTAATCTTATGGCAGCTTTGGTCAGTTGCATCTTTTAAGGAATTTGTCCATTTTATGTAAGCTATTGAATTGGTAGGCATAAAATTATTCATAGTATTTTAAAACCTGCTTATTATTTGAGCATCTGTAGTTTGGGTCCTCGCATTCATTCCTAACGTTAGTAATTAGTACTCTGTCTCATGATCAGTGTAACTAGGAGTTTATTGATTTTGTTGATCTTTTTCAAAGAATTAACTTTGCCAGTTTCCTCCATTGTTTCTTTTCTGTTTCATTAAAATTGTTGGTTTAGGTGGTTAAAGAGTTACAATTTTATTATGTGGTTTCAGTTTGTCCTATTTTTGGTTCCTCTACTCTTTTTTTTGCATTATTTTAGCTTAATCAAATGTTTTTCAGAATTTTTCAAAATATTTGTTAGATTTTAAGCACAGATATCCTTTTTTATAAAGATTTATTTATATATAGAATTATTCATTTTTACCTGAGAGGTAGATTTACAGAGAGGAGACAGAGGGAGAGAAGGCTCTTCCTTTCACTAGTTCACTTCCCACATGGTGGCAATAGCCATAACTGAGCTGATCCAGAGCCACGAGCCAGGAGCCAGGACCCTGCTCCAGGTTTCACATGTTCTTGCACGGGCCCAAGGAGCTGAGCCATCCTCTGTTGCTCTTCCAGGTTGAAGGCAGGGAGCTGGATAGGAAGTGGGGCAATGGGACTAGAACCAATGTCCAACTGGGCTGCTGTCACTACAGATGGAAGATTAGCCTGTTAACCCTCTGCATTAGGCCTACTCCTCCACCCCAAGAGATGAGGAAGAGGGAGGGGTAAGGACATTGTCCATCTGCTGGTTCATTTCCCAAATGGCTGCAACATCCTAGCCTGGGTCAGACTGAAGCCAGGAGCCAGGGGCTTCATTTAGATCTCCCTGGTGGTGCAGAAGTCCAAACACTTGGGTCATTTTGTGCTGCTTTTCTAAGTCCATTAGAATGAAGCTGGATCAGAAGTAGAGCAGCCAGGACACAAACGAGCACCTGTATATGATACTGGCAGCAGCATTACCTGCTGCGCCACAACCACATCCCCTTATTGTATTTTTGTCTCCATTTCTATTTAAGAGAACTGGTCTGATAGGTGATTACTTAATCATTATCAGACATAGAACCAGAATTTAAGTTTAAAAATATTAACAAGTGTGGTATAGGAATGTGTAATCTTTAGTTATTTCATGATTTAAAACTATCCAGAAAAGATTGGAAAAAAGTATGAAAGATTTTCTAAAAGTTCATGAAAATATGTACTGAGGAACTGTACATGAGTCTCAAAAAAAAAAATGTTTTGCAACAAAATAAACATCTTCTACTTTAATTTCCCCCTAGCACTTCCTTGAGGTATTCTGTAATACATAGGCATGCATAAGTAATTGAATGAACTGGTTTATTTTACCCCAGGGTCTACTTAAGAAAACATTAGAATATATGTGCAGTGTAAGTATAGCTAATTTACCGTATGTCAAAAAAATTAAAGTCAGGGTAGAAATATTTATATGGGAGAAATAAATCTTATGTTTCAGGAGAGTTGTGTTAGCAGCAGTTACGTTTTAAAACCTCAACAGATTGCTAGAACTTAGTTTCAGGTTCTGTTGTGTAATTGTATAGCTTTTTTGGTTGCTCCAATTTCTCACATATATTTTGATTCAGTCAATGTAATAAAAAAAGATTCAGTGAGTGTAATAAAAATGTAATTAAAAAAAGGCTTCTATGGGCCCGGCGCAGTGGCGCAAGTGGTTAAGGTCCTCGCCTTGCATGCCCGGGATCCCATGTGGGCGCCGGTTCTATCCCAGCAGCCCCACTTCCCTTCCAGCTCCCTGCCTGTGGCCCGGGAAGGCAATCCAGGACGGCCCAAAGCTTTGGGACCCTGCACCCGCGTGGGAGACCTGGAAGAGGCTCCTGGCTTCTGACCAGCATAGCATCGGCCGTTGTGCTCACTTGGGGAGTGAATCATCGGACAGAAGATCTTCCTCTCTGTCTCTCCTCTCTGTATATCCACCTTTCCAATAAAAAAATAATAAAAATAAATCTTTTAAAAAAAAAGGCTTCTAGAGTTAGAAGCCTCAAATGATCAATGTAGGATTTTAAACATTTTCTGGATAGTTACCCATAAAATATTCACTTTCTAAGAAATGTTCCCTTTGTCGTTCCTCTATACTCCTTAGGTTCTGTGTGACCAAGAGAGAATCATGTTTGGATTTCACATCCATCTTTGTGCTAGGAGTTTTCTTCCTTGCTATATCTCAATTTCTTTCTCCTAACATTTTTCATTACTTTTACTTTTTAATCCTTGTGCATAATGGAAAGAAAAGATTACTAACACTAATTGTAGTATTTAATTTTTCTGCTCTTTACCACTTCACATTATTCATTTGCCTCTAAACTTTCTTAGGAGCTGTGCTATATTTTCAGTATTATGCATAATGTGTAGGAGGTTTGAAGATATTAAAGCAAGGCCTGTGAGTACTCTTGTTCTATTGGGAAGGCCCTGCTTGTTGAATTTCTAGGTGGTTCAGCATGTTCCAGTCACCTGACAAGAACTTCTCATAGTGTCAGAACTCTGTAATGATGAGAATAACACAGCTAAGTAGTTCTGGTATGTAACTAATTTGCATGTTCACTTCACCAGAAAACTCTAGATTACAGTGGTATCCTACCTATTAGGTAAACATTAGGAAAATCATTTGCATGCTTTTAAAATAGATTTTGAGGTATTCATGGTAGTGAAATAATGGAGGATATTTATTTTTTAAAGATTTATTTATTTGAAAGTCAGACTTTACAGAAAGAGCAAGAGAATGAGATAGCTTCCATCCACTGGTTCACTGCCCAAGTAGCTACAACAGCTGGAGCTTCTGGGTCTTCCATGTGGATGCAAGAGCCCAAGAATTTGAACTATCTTTTGCTGCTTTCTCAGGCACATTAGCAGGAGCTGTATTGGAAACAGAGCAGCAGGGTCTTGAGCCAGCACCCATGCGGGATGTTGGCGTCATAGACAGAGGCTTAACCCACTGCACCATAGTGCTAGCCCCTGGAGGATGGATCTTAGTAAAATGTGAAATCGTACAAAGTTAGTATGTCTTCATTCCTTAGCTCTTCTCATAATGAAAAACAAAACTTCTTAGAACTTTCTGCCTAATATAATTGGTTGAACTGGTTTTAGTGGATTTTTTATTGTAAAACCATTATGTTACTATATGCTTTATTAGTAAGATAAATGTGGACCACATTATGTTTTTGTATAGATTGTAATTGGAGATTTACTTACCTTTTTCTTTTCTAAACTGAATTTTGTTCTTATTTTTTCAAAAGTTATAACTAAATGTTACAGAAGACGTGTCCTTTTTTAAGATGTTTCTTTGGACATTTGAGTTATACTAAATGTTTGGAATGGAGTGATCTACCATGTAGGCTTTTCTTTATATATTATCAATTATTTCTGTTGGAGCATTTGAGCATAAAGAAGATAAAATTTTCTAACTTCTAATCCAATCTTTAGTACTTATACAAATGTACAATTGCTATTGAGACTAGTGTGTTACTTCCTATAATATTTACTAGTTTTTAAAAACACTTTGGTTTATACTTAGAAACATTTTGTATGTGTATGACATATATTATGAATAGTATATTGTTACTGTGATTTTGAATAACACTCTAACATTTTTACTTATTTTATTGTGTAGAATGTTGTATTATGCAGTATAGTTTTCAAAAAATAAATATTCAGTATGTTATCAAATGGGATTAATGAGGGAACAGAACACAAACCAGAGAAATCATTGTTGTAATAGATTAAAAATATTTTCCTATTTTTAAAGGATATCCATGTGTATTTGAATATTCTTTTTCCTCAGTATCAGTATTTGTATGTTTATTTGTTTAATTATCTAGGATTAACATGGTTTTAAAAATATTTCCTTATTTATTTGAAAGTCAGAGTTAGAGAGGAGAGATCTGCATGCTGGTTCACTTCCCAGCTGGCTGCAGTGGCCATGGGGGTTCACAGGGATCTCCCCTGTGGGTGGTAGGGATCCACAATCTTGGGCATCTTCTGCTGCTTTTCCCAAGCCACTAGCAGTGAGCTGGAGAAGAACTCGAGAAGATGAGACCTGAACCAGTGTCTACTTGGGGTGTTGGTATCACAGGTGGTGGCTTTCGCAGCTTTGCCACCTCAGTCCTGTTTGTGCCCAGGCTTCTCCATTTCTGATCCAGTTCCCTGCTTGCAGCGTGGGAAAGGCAGTGGAAGATGACCCAAATGCTCTGGTGCCCGTCTTGGACGTCAGAGTGCTGGCTGAAGCTGCTGCCTCCACGCTTCCACCTGACTCAGCCCTGGCAGCTGCAGCTGTTGTGGGGTGTACCAACCAATGGGAGGTCCCCCACTTTCTGTCTCTTTCTGTAATTTTTTAAAACTCTGGTTTTCAAATAAAATAAAAATGTTAAGGAGAGTAGCTATATTGCTGAAGTGGTTTTCTACTGAAACAAATGCAAGTAAAGCTCATTTTATGTATACAAGGACTTGAGAAACAAAACAAAACAAAAACTGCATGGTTACCCAGGATTACACGATCCATTGTAGGCTTGTAACTAAAGCTGTTTTGTTTGATAACCTTGTAATTTAATCCGTATGAATATGTTGGAATGGATAACTTTTGTTTGTTGACCTAATTTACTAAATAAATTCTGTTACTCTTCCACTTCATGAATCTGCTAGTTTCTGTGTTGTTGTAAAATATGCTGTAGTAACTAATTTTTCCCCCATTGCCTTTTTAATTCCCTTTTAGAAAAATTGGAAGCTCAACCACCTACCCCAGGACAACTGAGATATGGTAATGGTTCTATAATTATTAAACTTATGTATATTTCTTTTGGACTTGAAATAACTGTATCCTTCATTGATAGCACTAAAGAGCTAGGTTCGAGGCTAAGTAGAACTTTTCTCTGGTGGGTAAAGTACAGTATGGGGGCTTAGGAAGATGACAGAAGAAAATTAGTCAGTAGTTGAGTAAATTTGAGTAAATTTAAGTAGGTTGTAAATGTAAGGTAAATGTTGAATGTCATTTCCTAACAACTGCTGAGCTATGAATAGTGTTTCCCAAAGGATGTTGAAGATCACAAATTAGCACATTTTTACATGCTGCAGAAAAAATGTATTAAGAGCAAACTTTTATTTCTCTCACAGATACAATGTAATCTGTGTTAGAAATTCCTAACTTTCCTCAAATGCAATTTAGAATTGAAGACTTTGCAGATCTTCTTTCTTGATTCCTGTCAGCGTAGATTCATACAGTCTGTATCCATAGCACCATATAATGTAATTATCATTTTTGGTAAGTCACACTGATGTTAATTTTCCTTTTTGTCAGTATTACTATACTTGTACTTCTTGAAGGTTTAGAAATATGTATTGGTTTTCTATATATTCACATTCCCAGTGGAGTACCCATATATATAAACTTTCTGAAAAATTAATTTTTTTATTGGATTAGAACACATTTTAATATGTAAGGCATTTATTTCAATGGAAGCATAGAGACGTAATGTGTCTTCTAGTTCAGAGTGGTGTGATGCTTTGGTTTTAAAGGTGAAGTTTTGCTGGCGCGACAGTTATTATAATTTTAATTCAGTGGATACCTAATTTTAAGGTATTTGTTACTGATCAGTTTTTAGAGATGAGGCAGTTTAATTATATATACTTAAGTAGATTTCTCATCACTGCAAGTATTTTATTTAGTGAATTTTAGAAATTTTATTACTATATACTGTCTTTTTTTTTTACAATGTGCTCTTTCGGCCTTCCAAATACTCATTGCATTTTGGAAATTATATCATATAGATTATATGTGTGTGTGTGTGTATACCTGTGTATGTGTGTACATACATGTACCTGCCTATATGTTTTGGAAGCTGCTTATTATAAAAATTTTGAATGTTCACTAGTTAAGAACCTGAAGCAGAAAATCAAAGAACTATGGCTAACCTCCTTGAAAAAATTCGTTTTTACTGATGTGCTGTTTGATTTTTATCTTTAATAGCTTTTGAAGTAGTCTTTGTAATTAAAATGTTACTCTGGGATTTTAACCAAAGCTATAGGGTAAAAAGAGAAAGCAATTGCTTTGTATGTTAAATAGAATCACCCAAGCGCCTTCTGTCTCCAAGCAAAGTATAAATGTGTCTCTTAACCAGGTAATTACATAAAACTTTGATCTTGGTTGATCTTAGATATTATTTAATAACAACAGAAATCTGAAGTAATTTATTTTGTGCTATCTTATTTAGTATTTTAGAATTATACTGTTGTTCATGATAGCATGTATTCACATATTGTATATTGTGTTTCCTCTTGATCTTGTTAATTATAGTGGTTGGTGGTGGAAATGATTTTTTTTCTTAATTTGTTGCTTATTATCCTTTCTTGATTGGTGCAGATCTCAATATAGCAGTACTTCTTGGTTGTATTTTAAAGAAAGAAGACTCTAAAAGCACTGAACACACAGCTAATTGGATGTAGAATGAAACTCGGAGTTTGATGTTAACTAAGAAACAGTTTTCAATTGACCTGGGGTTGACTATATCTGGGCAATCTTTGTAATTAGAATGAAGTCTTTTTTATTTTACCTATCCTCAGGTTTTAATCTGTTTCATGAACTATCTTCAATGATCTTAATGTGGAATTCTGTTCCTTTCTAGGTAGCAGTTAAATTCAGTTTAATTAGCTAATATTGACTGAACATCTACTATTGCCTCTGGCTTGGTACAATATGCTGAAATTTTCAAATATGAAGAAAATTGAATATGAATGTAAAATGCATAAAGATATTTAGGTGTTGATTCTTCCTAGTGTCTCTGGTTATTCAGATTATATACCAGAAGAATAGATTAAGTTGTTAGGAAAGGACAAGTTACATGTTGATTAAAACCATATTTTATTTATGGTTTGCATTTCGGGGTACTTATGAAAAGAACAGAAGATCATACATAGATTCTGAAATGGATGAGATTTAATAACTTTTTAAAAACATATATTTTTTTTAAGGATTTATTTACTTTTATTGGAAAGACAGATATACAGAGAGGAGAGACAGAGAGGAAGATCCTCTGACCACTGATTCACTCTGCAAGTGGCTGCAACAGCTGGAGCAGAGCTGATCCAAAAGCAGGAGCCAGGAGCCTCTTCCAGGTCTCCCATGGGGATGCAGGGTTCCAAGGCTTTGGGCTGTCCTCGACTGCTTTCCCAGGCCACAAGCATGGAGCCGGATGGGAAGCAGGCTGCCAGGATTAGAACTGGCGCCCATATGGGATCCTCGCATGTGCAAGACAAGGACTCTAGCCGCTAGGCCACCGTGCCAGACCCTAAAAAATATATCCTTTAAAGTGAAAATATGTACTAGCAATCAAACATCATCCCTGAAATTTGATTCAAGGCATTTGTCTTTATTTCGAGTATAGAGATCAATTTTATGATATCTATTTTTAGACATAGAAGATTAACAGATGATGTAAGTAGTAATAATGTAAAGTGTAATATTACATTTTACTGATTTGTCCTGCTTTAACTGTACATATGAGGATACTTCAAAAATTCATGAAATATGGAATTAAAATAGAATATTTTGTTGCAAAAATATTTTGAAATCCATGCATAATTTTTTATAGTATGTATTTTCATGAGCTTTTGAAGACTTCTCTTCCCTGTGAATTGCTAGTAAGAAAATGTAAAAGCCTAACAATTATTTTTAGGTATTAAATTATGTGTTTTTTGTTTTCTCAGTATAGTGTCTACCTTGTAAATTTAGGAATAGGAAGGGTCCAGTAGGTAGTGGGATTTGTTGCACAGTGGAATGTAAGGATCATCAAATATTTGGGAGACTTTAATCATATGTTGTGCATTTGTCATACTAAGGTTATAGAAATCTTTAAATGTATCTGTATGTTTTTGATGTTTTGCAGTATTCATCCACAATGCGATACCTTTCATAGGGTTTGGCTTTTTGGATAATGCAATTATGATTGTTGCAGTAAGTTCTTCTTGTTTTTATTTGGAGTTATTAAAGAAAATAACGTGGTCTATATGTTCCTAATTACAGCTACAAGTTATAATGACATAATGAAAAGGTATTTATTTCATGTTAGCAGCTCAATTTTAAGAACCTACCTGTGTTAATCATGACTTTTGGTAAAGTATTTATTTATTCTCTTTTCTTTAAGACTCATTCATTTACTTGAAAGGTAGAGTTACAGAGACAGGGAGCGACAGAAAAGTTTTCCATCTGCTGGATCCTTCCCCGAATGATTGCAATGGCTGAAGCTGGGTTAATATGAAACCAGAAGCCAGGAGCCTCTTGTGAGTCTCCCACGTGGATGCAGGGGCCTAAGGACCTGGGCCATCGTTACTGCTTTCCCAAGAGCATTAATAGGGAGCTGGATCTGAAGTGGCAGTTTTGGGACCCAGTCATATGGATACCAGTACAAAACATGTAGAATTTACAGTATTTATGCTCTTTAACGTTTTCCTCAAGTGTAAAAATTTCTGATGTTCTTTCTACCACTGGGTGTCATTGTGTGAATAGGTTTTTTGATTAGTTTCTCATTGAATTTTTCCTTTGCAATAGTATTTTAAAAGGGTATTTCATGCATAGTCTGGACTTTATCTAAGCCATTTAACCCAAAAGTGTCTTAAGTTTCAACTCAGAATACTGAAAACATGCCTTCTGTCTTTGTTCCGTTGTGGTATTTTAAGAAAGTTCTTCTTAACTGTGGTCATTTTAGAGTGCTCCCATAAAAGGATTGCTTAATGTCAAGGTTGGCTAGCTTGTTTTTCTTGTCATTACATATGTTTTGTTGATAAATACTAATATTGGTCCTATATTCTGAACTCAGATCTAAGATTAAAAGTCTTCTAAAATTACAATTGGCTCTTCTTCTCTGTTGTCTTATCAGATTTAAATGGGGGTGATCATGGTCCTTTAAAGAAGACAGTTACCAACTTTCAGTACCTGTGAGAGATCTTTTCTTGGAAGAAGCTCATGGAAAATTTGTATTAATAAAACTTGCATGTGTTAAATTTTTTTTGCCCCAAAATAAGCATCTTTTAGTTTAATTTTCTAAGAACTCTTTGAACTACTTTTTTTTAAAACTATACTTTAGGTGCAAGTCAGTTTTTTTCAGTGTTACTATTAATGCATCAAAAATCTATTATCCATGAGAAAAAAATAGTATCAATTATTTTTTTCTAGATACTAATGTAGGAATTCTCTAGTGGATTTTTTTTTTGTTTAAAGTTTCTTTAAAATAGCAAAATACTTTGTAACTAGAGATTTTAAGTTATGGTGCAGTTTGTTGCCAGCCTCACTGATGCTAATTAAAAAAAAAAATCTTGGGGGAAGAGTAGGGGGAATCCCAGTGCCTAAAAAACTGTTACATAATGCAATATAATAAAAAAAAAAATAAAATGAAATAAAAAAATCTATCATAGTGTAATTTGTAGCATAATAATGTTTTAGCTATTAGTTATATTTACAACTATATTGTACCTGCTTTTGTGTAAAATACTTGCCTCAAGAAGAAAAGGAATAAATAATATAGGATTCCTTATTTTGAAGAAAATGCATGTGAGAGATAAAAGATTTCTTTTTGGCATTGGGAAATTACGTATGCAAAAGGCCATACTTTAGTTTTACAATAGAAATGAGAAAAAGTAATGTACGGCATATAAAATTTGCTTGGAGAAGACCTAAAATTTTTTTCACTCAAGAATGGTTTTAGCTTGACCTGGCGATTAAGCTGCCAGTTGTAAGAACTGCATCCCACTTTGGAATGCCTGGTTTGAGTGTGCCCTCCGTTCCCAGTTCCAGCTTCCTGCTGATGCACAGCCTGGGAGGTGGCGGGATGACTCAAGTGATTGAGCCACTGCCCCCAAATGGGATACAGACATTGTTTGAGTTCCTGGCTCCTGGCTTCAACCTGGCCCCAGCCATGACTGCGTTTGGGAAATGAGCTAGCAGATAAGAGTCTCTTTCTCTTTCTTTCTCTCTTTCCTTTTCTTTTTGAAATATAAAAATAATAAGAAGTTAAAAATAAGAATATGAAATGATCAGTAATAGCAAAAGAGATCTTAAAAAGTAAAGTTGAAGGATTTACATTATCAGTAGCACTTATTCTAGATTCTAATTAAAGAATTGTTTCATATGCGTTACTGTTTTTATTTTATTTTTAAAAAGATTTATTTACTTTTAGTTGAAAGGCAGATTTTTGCAGAGAGGTAGAAGAAATAGCGAGAGGTCTGCCATCTAGTGATCCGCTCCCCAGATGGCTGCAAGGGCTGCAGATGATCCAAAACCTCGAGCTAGGAGCTTCCTCCAGGTCTCCCACATGGGTGTGGGGACCCAAGGATCTGTGCATTCTATGCTGTCTTCCAGGCTGTAAGAAGGGAGCTGGATTGGATGTGGAATGGTGGGGACTCAAATCAGTCCATATGTGATGCTAGAGCTGCAGATGGAAGATTAGTTTGCTATGCCACTGTGTTTATCCCACTGTTTTATTTTTACAAAGGCATGGTTTTAATGAAAATGATTAAGTAAATTATTGCATTAAATAACTATTTCTGTACATTTTATGCAATAATTTTACTGTACTAGCATGTTGAGTTTATTATCTTTTTGTTGATGCTTTTCTTTTACAGTCACTTTCAGCTTTAAATTTTAACATTAAGTTTCTGTTTTTTTCAGGGAACCCATATAGAATTGTCTATTGGAATTATTTTGGGAATTTCAACTATGGCAGGTATTTAATAATTGTAAATATTCCCTTGCCTCTGTATTTAGACGGCATTTAAGTAGGTAGGTTTAGAAGTAGTTTATTTGAGTGAATTTACTTAGTCCTCTGATTCTTATTTTTGTTTATGTAGCACTTAAATTTTTTCTTTTGGTACTCTTTACAAGTTAATGAGTGAAAATATTGTGATATATTGATTGCATTAGGACATTTTTTTTTCTGATAATTTAGTATTTCTCCCAATTTTTTAAACTCTTTGTCTCTGTTAAATTATTTTTCAGTTTGATAGGAAGATTAGAACATGAAATACAAGTTTGAAAAGCTGTGCCTTTTTCTCCCTATTCAGCATTTTATTCTCCTTGATGGTGAAATTTGGAAATTGTTGTGTTTACTGTGCGGAAAGCGTGTGGCAAATGACTTAAAAGAAAGAAATGTATTTTCTCCTTGACTTGAATTTCAGTGCTGTTTGTATGGCTTTATGGTTTAATTCCAAATAGCCAAATTCCCCTAAACAAATACTGTATGATTATACAACTAGAAGATATTGTTTACATGTTTTCAGAAACTTAAAATTTGTGATTATAATAGAAAAACCTAGTATTAGTACAGGCAGAATATTATAATTGCAGAACTGTATTCTATTTCAAAATCTTGAGCTTGAGCACTATCTAGTGAATTACTTTGTATGTTGTATTTGGGAAATGTGATTCTTCTAGATTTTTGTTGTATTAATTATATAGTAGTCTATTAAAAGTGATTTTCTGTTATGTAACAAGTCATTTGTCTGTTTTTCACATTTTAGCTGCTGCTTTGGGAAATCTTGTGTCAGATTTAGCTGGACTTGGGTAGGTCCATTTATTTTATAATTTGTGTTTTTGTTAACTTATGTTACTTTATTTTTTCCTTGTTCCTGTGAGAAATATAAAAAGGAGATACTTAATTGTTTTATGTTTTTGAACTCATTCCTCCTTCTTCTTTTTTTTTTTTTTTTTGAGAGACAGGGAGGGAAGGGGCGAGAGATGACGGGGATGTAGAGAGCTCCTATCTCTGGCCACTGTCCAGATGTCTTGATGACTGGACCTGGGTCAGGGTAAAGCCGAGAACTGACAACTCAGTCCGGTCTCCTTGGTGGGTGGTGTGGGTCCAAGGACTCAGCCATCACCTCCTGCCTCTCAGTGCACAGGAACTGAGAACAGAGCCTTAAGTATGTCATGTTGGCATTTCAGATGGCATGTTAAGCAAACTCCCACCCTTGGGACTGCATTTTAATATACTGTTTCTAAACCAATGGTACTAAATATTTGTTGTGCACCAAATACAGATACCTGAGTAGTGCCCCAGTCATACAAAGTTGGTATCTGTGGAAACAAGGCCTTGGCATTTATATTTAATGATTTTCACAAGTGATTCTCATTTACAACAGCAAAAAAAATTGTTCTAAAACTTCCTATGATGTAAGTCAATCGAGTTTTCATTTACTGAAGTATTTATATCTGTTTTGTGAAATATTAGAAGTAAGAACTCTGGTCCTTATTCCTCCCTCACCCCTCCATAAATCCCAAAGATAAAGAATATGGCCCAAATATGAAGATTTTTTAAAAAAAGATTTATTTATTTTTATTGGAAAGTCAGATTTACAGAGCGAAGGAGATACAGAGAGAAAGATCTTACATCCATTGGCTCACTCCCTAGGTGGCTGCAATGGCTAGAGCTGAGCTGATAGGAACCAGGAGCTTCCCTGGGGTCTCCCACGCAGGTACAGGGTCCCATGGCCTTGAACCATCCTTCACTGCTTCCAGCATGCCCATATGGGATTCTGGTGTATGCAAAGCAAGGATTTAACCACTAGGCCACCACACTGGGCCCCAAATTTGAAGATTCTTTCTAAGTATGTTCTGTGTAGTAGGAGTTTGATAAACCAAACTCAAGAGGTGCACGTAGCAAAAGGCAGCTTTCTGCTCTTACAGTTTTTCTTCCAAGTGGCCGATGGTCCAGGCTGCTTCCAGAGCTTGGTGGGAGCTGGTGAACGTACGTAATTATCAGGACGAATATTCCTTGCTCTGTCTTTGACTTGCTTTCTTCGTTTTAGTAGGTTTTGAGGTTTAGATACGGACTCAGTGGTCCTCTTAGCTCTGTAGTTAGGTAAACACTTACTTGTAAGTGATATAATTCTTTATACTAGACATTACATTGGTATTTGGGGCAGAAATTCCTGTTAAAAATGAAGAATCTTTGCTGTATGGCCTTGGATAGAATTTTATATTTCTATTATTTGTAAATTAACTATTTTGTTGTAAACACCCAACTATTTCCATTTCTCAGTTTCTAATTTGGAGATTAGTAATGATAATGTTATAGCTACATATAGCTTTCTGTTATATTTAACATAGTCAAGTTATCCAATCAATTTTAAAGCTTTTTATTTTTATTTTTTTTGTAAAAGTGTCATGTATTTCATGTGCTTTTAGCAGCGTAATGATACCACCTATCTTCCCTTCCTCCCTTGTTCCCACTCTCCTTCCTCATTCTTTTTTTTAATTTTATGATGATACATTTTCAACTTACTTTATAATTGCAGGATTAACCCTCCACTAAAAAAGGGTGTAAAGAATAATCAAAATGTCAATTTTTCTCATATATATTATATTTATAAAGCCATCTTTTTGGCAATGAAGAGTTTGTTGGGTATTTTGATATTTTTAAGAATTATTTCTTCTTGCCCTTTTAAGAAGTATCTTTGGCTATCGTTAGGTAGCTGATAACACATTTTATGGATTCTTAGGTGCATATTTTAAAAAGGTTTTGCATCTCTAACATGGAAATATGTCTTGTGGTTGGCAATATACATAATTTTGGCAAATGTCTTACAGTTTATGAGGTGAGAATATATCCAATAAGTGAGAGCAGCTTAGGATTGGGAAGTACTGCAGACTGACCTGAGCAGTCCGTGCTGGCTGTGTACTAAGCTGATGGATTTTGGAAGCTTTCGCTTTCAGACAGCAGTTACTAATTTGGCTTGAATTTGGAATAAGTGTAGTTATTATTTATGAAAAGTTTCATATATCTTGAGTTGATATTTTAAAGTAATGATAGAAAAGAATTGCTCAAATCAGTTTCTGTATGAATTAAATATGTAACATAAAATTGCTTTTAAACTGTATGTGTGATAAAACAGTTGTAAAAATGTTTATACCATTTCTAGAGGACCAAGCACAGATATAAAATCATCTTTTCTTTTTGTAGTAATTAGTTTTTTACTGTCTATATTTTACTAATACTGGTACATTCCTTTAAAACTTTTTTTTGTCCTCTTGCCCTTTAAAGGCTTGCAGGCTATGTTGAAGCTTTGGCTTCCAGGTTAGGCCTGTCAATTCCTGATCTCACACCAAAGCAAGTTGACATGTGGCAGACACGTGTTAGTACACATTTGGTAAGTAACTGACATGGTTTATAATGGTAACTTTGGGTAATTCGGAGCAAGCCATTACAGTCAGAATCTTGGGAAATTTCAGATGAAAATTAACTTTATTATTTTTTTAAAGATTTTTTTTTTTTGGAAAGTCAGATATACAGAGAGGAAGATCTTTTGTCCACTGATTCACTCCCCAAGTGGCCGCAATGGCTGGAGCTAAGCCGGTCTGAATCCAGGAGCCTCCTACATGTCTCCCACATAGGTACAGGGTCCCAAGGCTTTGGGCCATCCTCGACTGCTTTCCCAGGCCACACACAAAGAACTAGATGGGAAGTGGGGCTGCCAAGATTACAACCAGCACCCAGCACCCATATGGGACCCCAGTGTGTGCAAGGTGAGCACTTTAGTCCCTAGGCTATTGTGCCGGGTCCAGACTCTAGTAGAGATTCTTTTTTTTTTTTTTACCCTGAGACTTATTTATTTGAAAGAATTGCAAAGAGTGAGAGACCCTCCATCTATCTACTGATTTATTCCCCAAAATGCTGTAAGAGCCAGCCTGAAGCTAGTAGCCAGGAGCTTCTTTCAGGTTTCCAAGATGGGTGCTGGGGTCCAAGAAATTGCATCACTTCTACTGCTTTCCCAGGCACATCAGCAGGGAACTGGCTCAAAAGTGGAGCAGTGGGACTTGAACTGGTGCTCATTTGCGATGGTGGTGTTACTAGCTGCAGCTTAACCCATTATGCTGTAACACTAGCTTGTTGAGTGGATTTTTAGGAAAAATTGTCTGGATCTTGACATTTTCAGAAAAACAGCAATTTATTTATTGATGGCTTATTTTTTGTAAGCGTGCTTGGCTTTTAAAAACTCAAGTTAATATATGCAGTTTAATTAACATTCAACAGTGTTTGTTGTGTACTGAAGAAATGTGCATTATAAAAGGGTGCTGTAGAAAAACTGAGAGTTCATGGTCTTATGAAAAATTGTGAAGAAGTCTTGAGGTTTAGCGACCACTGATCTGTTTCTCTAAAGAAATCAAGGTGTCTGAGAAGTGTTTTTACTTTTCTTCTTAATTTTGTATCTATAGTCATTTCTCTGTATTCATAGATTCCATAGATTCTGTCAACATGGCTTGATAATATATATTTAAAAAAACTTGCATCTCTACTAAATGGATACATTTTTTGGTCGGTATTTCCTAAACCATGCAATACAAAGCTATATGAATTTACTATTTACAAAGCATTTACATTGTGTTAGGTATTGTAAAACAACAGAGACCAACATTGTGGCATGGCATTGCCTTCAATGCCAACATTCCATGTGGACGTTGTTTATGTGTTGGCTGCTCTTTTGATCTCGCTCCCTGCTAATGGCCCAGGAAGAGCAGCAATAGATGGCTCATATACTGGGGACCCTGTCACCCATTGGGAGATCTGAATGAAGCTGGTGGCTCCTGGCTTCTGGCTTCTGGCTTTGGTCTGTTCCAGAGCTAGCTGTTGCCGCCATCTGGACATGGAAGCTTCTCTCTCTTTGTCTCTCTCTCCTTCTCCATCTTTCCCCCCATCTATAACTTTGACTTTTAAATAATAAGAAAAGTAGTCAGCTAGAGATTATTAGAGTGAATGGGGAGGAGGATGTGTGCATGTCTGTTATTACAACATTTTGCAGAAGAGATTTCCTTACCTCAACATTTTGATGTCTGGGGGTGGAAGGTGAGTTCTGGAGGAGGTAATGATGGTAGTTGCTCATTGGTGGTCATTTCTGAGCAGTGTCTTCAGACTAATGAGATAGGAAAAACCAAATGACAGTGAATCAATAGGAGGTAAAGAAAAAATGCAAACTGTAAGATTAATGTATTTAAGCTGAACTGAATTTATTGTAAACTACAGGTGTTAAAGCAAATTTGTTAGAATAGGAATTGTATGTGAAAAATATTAACATTAAATATAGAAAAATATAGATAAGATTGAATTAAGTTCATCATCTGTCATTTTAAAAGTCTAATGTGAAATTTAAATTTAGGGAAGGTATTCCTAAATGAAACATTTTGGGCTTCAATCTGTAATACTTTGTACTTGGCTTTAATTATTCATATTTAACATATTAAAGTTCATCATTTTAAGCATTCTGTATCATTGCTGAGATTCTTTTATTGCTTTTGGTTGCTAATGGTATCAATTAATTCATTTAATATTTTATTAATTAATTACTTTTGTTAAAGGAAAACATTTGGATTATTGCTTTTCTGTGTCTTTACCTCTCAATAATTATTTTTTTTTTTAAAAAGTAGGACTACCAGAATGATCACTTCTAGGAAAGTGTTTTGTTTTCACCTGAACTGTTTAGGAAGAATGTGTAGAAGCAAAATGAGGGTCTGTTTGCTTGTAATTTTAACTTTACTAAAGGTGAAAATGCCTTTAAGAAAATAGAATGTTAGGAATGGGCATTGAACCTTTCACTCATTTGGAGCAGCTGGATTTGATTTCCAGCTCCAGTTCCTGACTGCAGCTCCCCACCAAGCAGGCTCTAGGCATCAGTGATGACGGTTGCTGCCACCCATCCGAGAGCCTGGTCTGTACTTCCAGCTCCTGGCTTTGGCTTCAGCCTTTGTTGTGTTTCTGAAACAAGCCAGCTGATGGAGACAGGCATTTCTCTGTCTCTCACCTTTCTCCTTTCCTCCTTATCAAGTAAAGAAATAAGAAACTAGACCATTTATTTTTGGTCTCTTTGATTCTTTGTGTCCCTGTTGTGCAATTGAAATGAGACTAGGCAACCTGTGCCAGTCAGGTAACATTTGAGCAATATGTCTCCAAATTTGAGTATTGAATTTGAGATCAGAAGAGTTTATTTTCTTGGTCTCTTCTCATATCATTGATAATTTTGTTTATATATATAATATATATAGCTTATATAATTATATATAATACTATATAATATATAGTTTATATAATTAATATATTATATATAGGTTATATATATTATATATCTTAATTATGACAAAACACTTCAGTTACTAAACTAGTATTTTCAGTGGATATGTGTTTGTGTGCTTTGATCCAGTCCCTACCCGTGAATGGAAGCAGTGATTCTGTTACTTAGCTGTTAACTCTGCCTCTTGTACGTAAGGATCAGATATTTCACTTGAACAGTATAGTTTTGTTTACATGCAACCTGAAGCTTTTGAGGTTAGAGATCAGGTATTTATTTCTGACATAAGCCAACTCTAAAAATGTGCTTATAATGGAATACACACTACCACATTCAGATTGTAATGGGAACAGGTTGTATTTTAAAACCTTGTTTGCAATTTGGTTATTTGAAACCTGGAAAATAGTTTCTCATAGGGTAATATTACAGAATGGACTCAGCCTCACAGATTCACCTCTATGTAAGACCAAGAAAATAGTAAGACCTGATAGTAATATATAGATAATTATTTTTTTACAGTGGAGAAGTATTTATCAGGTCCTGGATTGGAGAGTCAGAAAAGGATATAATTTTTTTCCTCCCTGCCTGTCTTACTAATCTTTTAATTACCTGAGGTATTGTTATCAGTAACAGGGGAGAAAAGTCTTGGTTGCCATGACTGATGGTAGCGGGCATTTCAGTGGGTTGGAAGTACAAGTGGAACCTGTTAGTGATGGCCATTTCATGTATGTGGGGAAATCAGGAGTCTAAAACATAATATAGTCCCTCTAGGAGTATAGAAATGAATACAAATATTGAGGCCAAAATAACAATCTAGGATTAACTATTAGCATGTAGGCTGAAGGAAACGCTTGTTAAAACTTTGGAGGAGTGATATTTTTAAATTTTTGACCTAATGAAAATCAGAGTTTACTGTTGAAATAATGTGTGGATAAACTACTACAAACACTACAATGACGTAAAGCCCTTCGTGTAACAGTGTAACAGTGGGATTAACTTGAAATATTCATTTCTAATTTATTTATGTTAAATATTGAAATTTATCATAAAATCTACAGAATCTCATAGCTACATGGGCAATATGTTGGTGAAGATATTTTATTCATGATTTGCTTTAAATAAAATAATTGATTTTGTTTTCCTCATTGGGAGGTCCTGAGGAATAAACAGCATCTAATTGGTTCCTGTCTGCCCACACAGTTTGTCATATAGTAGATAGATACTCAAAAAATGTTTTTATGGTAAAGTGAAGCTTAATAGGAAGCTGTCTAAAGTTGATAGTTGATAGTCACCATAGACTATGAGAATTGTTTATAGTATCTCTATAATGTGAGTTTTCAGAAAAGTTGATGTGTAAGTATACATATGGTGAAATTGGTTTGCAAGTATGTGTAGTTTTATCGAGGGTGGACAGCATGAGTATCCTAGAAGGATACACAATATTTGATTTTTAAATCATTGGTGAAAAACTCTACACAGAAATGCTTATTTCATCTAAAATGTTAAAAAAGGTAACTGTTTTTTTTTTCAAGCTAAAGGAGAGCTTTAAGTACAATATAAATCCATAGATTGAATAGTTGAAAAGTTATTATACTAATTTTGTGTTATCAGTTTGGGAGTATTTATTATATTGTATGACTGTCGTAGGAGAAGTGGGGCAAGAAAAAAAGCTACGTTGTGTAATGATTATATCTATGTATATATGTATGTAGAAAAAATACTGGTGAGGAATACATTCCAGGATTAGCTAATCCAAATATATTGAGAGTAGCTATTAAGATTTTCCCCTGCCTTCCTTCTGATACTAAAATGTATGTAAGAGTACAGCTTTTAATTAATCTTATAAGGTGAATAAATTTGGTGTATTTCATGATGCACATTTATAAACAGTGACACCTCCTGCTGTACCCCCTCAGCTACTTGCATTCCCCTCCTTACCTGTCTCCCTCTAATTTTTACAATGGTGTATTTACATTTCACTCTTAGACTTAACTCCAATAGACAAATCAGCACACAGCAAGGAGAAAACAAAACTACTATTCCTGAGGTGTATAGAAAAAGGCTATAAACAAGAATCAAGTCCCAGGATGTTAGTCTTTCTCATAAAGATAACATTTTTTGTACTCTGTGTACTAGTTATAATAAGTCAAGAGAAATATGACATCTGTGTTTTGGGGATTGACTTATTTCACTAAGCATAATGATTTCCAGTTGTATCCGTTTAGTTGCAAAAAATAAGATTTCAAAAAAAAGAGAGAGATGTTATTCTTTTTTGTGGCCGAATAGTATTCCACATGTATTTACACCACAGTTTCTTTATCCAGCTGTCAGGTGATGGGCATCTGGGTCAATTCCATCTTAGCTATTGTGAGTTAAAGTGCTGTAAACGTGAGAGTGCAGATAACTCTTTCCTGTGTTGATGTTTCTTACTATACTGAAAAGAAACGCCATTGTGGTTGAATGCTATAGTCATTGTCTGTTACATGCTCTGGCGTGATACCTTTCCAGGGATCTAGTAACTGTCAAAATACTTCTTGTGTTTCCTCAGGGCAAAGCCGTTGGGGTGACTATTGGCTGCATTTTAGGAATGTTTCCTCTGATTTTCTTTGGAGGAAGTGAAGAAGATGAAAAACTGGAGAAGACTGAATCCTCTTAGAATACCCATAAAAAGATGTAAACTAATGTACCTCAGTTATTAAATATACTGTCACAACATTTAGAAGTTAAGACAGTAACAGTGTATAGATATGGGATCAAATAGTTGAGCATGTGTTATGGAACACTAACTTATTGTGGTTTGGTCTTAGGACATCTTTTAAAAAAATATTTGGTATCATATGTGTAAATTGTTGAAATGCTTTTCATCAACAGCAGTCAACATTTCATCTTTTCCTTCTTTATCACATTATTATTTAAGTACTGGTCATTGATGTACTGTATTGACTGGGAGTTTGGCTGTTTGTTACTTAACATGCCTACATGCATGAAAGCATTTGGTTCTTGTCATCATTGTTGTTACAAAATAGTTATAATTCAACCTTAGGAGTTTTCCAGATTACTTCAGATATTCAATAATCAGTTAAAGATTTTTTTTTTTTACTGTTTTATTGGCAGTATCAATTTTGTGTTGTTTCACAGTGAACATTAGCAATTATAAAATTTCAGTCATTTTCTTAACACAGCTTTTGAGAAGGGTGCAGATTTGAGGTATATGTCACTCATTTTAATTTTCTGATTGTATTGTCTGAAGGGCCAGAGGGGTTAAAAAGAGCAATTCTATGTGTTCTTCGTGTTATATGAAACCATGTATGTTAATAAGAATACTTATTCTGGTTGATTGTCTTACTTTAATTTCTTTTAAGTGGAGACTATGGAATTACGTTGAACTAGAGAAATACGAAGTGGAAATTGTTGAGAATGCTTATGGTCTAAGTGGTGAGATCCTACTGATATTTGAAAGTCTGAAGAAATACAAATTATATTCTTTAGAAAGATTTTCCCCCCTCATAAAATGTTATTTTATATGAGTGGGTTGAACCCAAACACTTCATATTCACGATCAAAAATCTTGTTGTATTTTGTCTGGTGTTATTTTTTCTCGATAATTTCTTTTGATGTGAAAACTAAGTTTTTTGTATTCTGATTTTTTTTTGCATTATGGTCCAGTCAAAGTTGTATTTAGGAGTAATCCTTTCCTTTTGTCAGTATTTTTGGTGGTGGTGGTTAGAGCATATTTTTGGTTATAGTTACTTATATCTGACCCTATATATCTAAAGTTATAACCATTTAGAGTCATAAATTCTAATTTTCTGAATCCTTTATGTTTTGTAGTATGTGGTTTGTTAAACATGATAGTTAAACATACTGTGGGGAGAGAAAAACTGAAATTAAGATTTACTATTAGGATATTAAAATTATTGCTAATAGATACAAAAGAAGGCAAACTTGTGGGGCGACCATATTTATAGCAATATTATTTTAAAATTTTATTTGCATATGATTGCTTGGAGCACTTATTTTCAATGTTAACTTCTCTCCTGTACACTTCAGAATAATATGTTACTATCCTTTTAAGCATCGATTTTTGGGGGGAGGGGAACTACATCTTAATATTGTATGCAAATAAATATATAATATTCTTATACATTATGACATTTTTCATTAGGTTAAATCAAAATTGTAAAACTTGAGAGCTTAAACATGATTGTGGTTTGTATCTTCCATGTTGTATAACATAAAAACACCAAGAAGAAAGGTTTTAAAATTTCAGATGGATAGGAATAGATTGCTTATTTAAACTTTTTGATAAATATTTAAGTGCTTATATCCCTATTGTGTATATGGATTGCCAATCCTTTCTGTTTTTTTAAAAAGTATTTCATTGTGGTGCTTCACTTCTTTTTAATAAAATCCCATATTCCATAAGTTTAGCCTGTTAAGTTTAGAAAGGGCCTTTGATTATTAATTTTTTTGCTCCTGGAAATAATTAGTCCTATTATTAGCAGAATTATTAACAGAATCTGTCAGTTTGGTTTAGCATGAACAGAATTATTGAAGTTGTTGAAACATGAATACAAAACCTGAATATTAAAAAATAGTTTATAGGTACAATAAAAATTTGAATCAATCATGTAATAAATTTTCCAAAAAATTGGAGCCCTTCTGCCCTTTCTATACATTTTTGCCCCCAGAAATTTATTTTGCTGTAGCATGGTGCTTCACACAACACTAGAAAAAATGACTCCGTTAGGAATGGTTTCATGTGATTCTTGTTTCATGTCACTTGCCACAAAGAACGTTATTTGAGGTGTAAACTGGAACCTGTGTTTCTCATATTAGTATTTCTCTCTTAGGAACACTAGAAATGTGAAATGCAACATGAGCTATTTTAGTGCTGAATGTTTGAAATTCCTGTTCTGTGTATTATGATTTATTGACTTGTTGATGCATGTGAACTGGGTGCATTTTGCCACTGTATGTTAAATGGTGACCAATGTTTTTACAAAGGAATTGAACAAAAAAAAATCTTCAGAGTTTGCAATGTGGTTTTGATTTGATTTTGAAATTTGATTTTCTTACAGAAGACTTTGGTTACTCTGTGACTAAAGGAAATAGGATTGGTAATGGCAGATTTGATACAAGGTAGCAGCAGAGTCAGGATACAAACTTGACAACGTTTAAGGAGAATGATCCCACACAGAAACTTCACATAGAGCGGTCAGCATCCATCAGTCACACTAATGGTATTGATAGCAGAGGTGTCCACGCTCATTATGTAATCAATGCCTCATTTACTTTTTCTTCTCTAGGAGGTAAATTTAAAAGTTTGCATAAATCACTTTGAAGTAAATCTTCCTAATTTAAAAATTTATGATCTTGCCTTCTTAGAACAATCTATTAAATGCAGCATAGCTTTTACCTTAGTGTCTAAGCATCTTTGTCATGAGTTTATTATTATGTTGTACGCAGTGCTGAGAGAATCTGGTTTTTACCGTTTTAAGTTTTCCTCCCCTTTTGTGCTGCTCTTATTCTGGGAACTGTTTTCTCTCTAATGTCCTTTCTCAGTTGTGTGGACCTAGGAACTAAACAACTGGTCGTAACCAGAATTGTTATGGAGATATTAGAAAACACTCAAGCCTGAGTGAGATGATGATCCGCTGAGAGTAAAAATAATAATATTAGCATGACCTCACTTTTATTAGATATTTATTATTACATACTATAGTACTTTACATACATTATCATATGTAATCACCTTAATAGCAGTGTTAAGTTGGGGCTGTGGCCATGCCTGTTCTTTTTACTGGGCAAATTGAGGCATGGAGAAGTGGGTTTGCTCATGATGTCAGTACTACGTGACTGGCTCTGGCAGCGTGTAAAACCCATGGTCGTAAGATGTGCTGTAGCATCACCAGATGTGCAGGCTTTGCCACCACACCACCATTTAGGTTCCTTATTATCTAGTTTGTGGGGTTATTTTCTCATCTCTTACGTAAGGAAATTGTTATTAGACTCTCAAGATCCATGTAACAAATTGTGTGTGTGTGTGAAAACACATAATAGATTTGTTACTTACTTGAAAGGCAGAGTTTTAGAGGGAGAGACTGAGTGAAAGGAGGTTTTCCATTCACTCATGGAAGTTATCTTCATTCTGCCCAAAATTGGATGGAGTTCCAGGCCAAAACAGGAGCCTGGTGCTCCGCCTGGGTCTCCTCCCTATTGGATGGAATTGGCCCAGTTGCTTGGGCCATCTTCTGCAGCTTTCTCAGATGCTTTAGCAGGGAGCTGGATCAGAAGTAGAATGGCTGGGACTTTAACTGGCGTCGTTCTGGGTATTTGATGCCAGACTTGTAGACCGTGGCTAAGCCTTCACCAATACAACCGCAACTTTTGTGTTTTTGATTGTGTATTGTATCCAATACGCTAGGGACCAACACCCCTCGCTCATGAAGTTTATTCTGCATGTGGGGTGGGCCCCAGAGTAGGAGGTGTTAGAGAAGAGAACACAGAAAAAGCAAATTGCACTTTGTTATATCTTATAACAGTGATATGTTCCTTAGAGACAAATGCAGCAAGATATAAGGTATAGACAGTACCAGTGGAAGTGAGTCAGAGAAGACTGGAGAAGATACAGAGCCCTGTAAAGAGAAGGTGTCAAACCAAGGTTTAAAGACATGAAATGCCTTTTCAGTTTGGCATGAAATGTAGAATGCTTCCTGTTTGCTTTCTGTTATGAATGCTGTCATGTTAAACCTAAAGGTTGATTACTTACATGTGCAGAACTATATTGTTCATTTACTGACAGCAGTAGAAGGACACGGCCAAGAAACGTGAGGAAGCGATTCTCCAATTACAAAAATTTGTAGAAAACTGTCAGCAAATACTTTAGTTTTTTTCTGTGTGTTCATAATGAAATATTATTGACAGATCACTTGCTTTTACCAGAGCAATAAATATTTTTGCTGCATAAGCTGTAGTGAACACTGAAGTTAACATTTTTCTTATCTGACTTTTATAATTAATAATAAGGTTTGAAGTTTTAGGACTTTCGGGTCTACTGATACAGTTATGAAACATGGTATTTTGTATCAGTGTTCATTTGAGATTTTGTATGTAGCATAAATGATAGGAACAAAAGAAGCCATGAGCAATTTCTTTTTTATTGGCATAAGGATTAAAAGGTGGAGTATCTGAGAGATGCTTTCTCTGTAACTACAAGTCAAATTTTTTTTTTTAAGATTTTTCAGATTTTTCTTTTTTTTTTTTTTATTGTTAATAACATTGTATTATGTGATACAGTTTTATAGGTGCTTGGATTTCCCCCACTTCTCCCACAACCCTCCCCCCGTTGGTGGATTCCTCCACCTTGCTGCATAACTACAGTTCAAGTTCAGTTGAGATTCCTTCATTGCAAGCACATACCCAGCATTGAGTCCAACATCTTATTTTTCTTAAAAAGACAGAGTTACAGAGAGAAGCAGAGACAGAGAAAGATCTTCTATCCACTGGTTCTCTCCCTCAGGTGCCTGCTATAGCCAGAGCTGAGCTGCTTTAGGCCAGGAGATTGTTCCAGGTCTCCCAAGTGGGTACAGGGGCCCAAGGACGTGGGTCATCCTCAAATGCTTTCCCAGGCTATGAGTAGGAAGTTGAATCAGAAGCAGTGGAGCAGCCAGGACCTGAATTGGCATCTAACGGGATCCCGGCCCTTGAAGGTAGAGGATTGGCCTGCTGAGCCATGGTGCTGGTGCCAAATCAGACTTGTTTAAATGAATGAAATGTGAGCATAATGATTGAAGAGTTTAAAGAGGTACTTTTAGGGGAAGCCTTGGAAACCCTCAACAACTGTAGGATAAAGCAGATTTCTGTGAGAATTATGAAATTTAGAAAAGATAGTATTTGATAATATAAAAGTTAATGGCTTTCTAAATTTAAAATTTTTAATTTGATGATACAATTCCATAGTGTCTGGGATTGGTGCTAGACATAAATGGGAGTTAAAATGGGTATTTAAGTGTAAAACAAAAGAAAACTGCAAGATACCTTAATTAAAGTTTTTTTTCTCTTCTTGCCTGACTGTACTCCCTCTCCTGGACCCTCTTCTTCTATAGTTTGTTGATTCTTCTACCTCTTTCCGTTTGGTGAGCCTTCCTTTCTCTCTCTTTCTCTCTCCCTCCCTCCCTGCCTCCCTCTCTCCTTTCCTCCCTTTCTCTCTCTCTTTCTCCCTGTCTTCCTCCCTCCCTCCCTCCCTCCCTCTCTTTTTCTTGATCTCATTCTTGGAGGAATGTTTTTAACACATTTTTATATCTCATACTATTAATTTAAAACATGTAGATAAAACATTTTCCTTTTCCATTCTCACTTGGGGAGGAGGATAAATCTAAATATAGTTCATTATTTTATCGTTAGCTCTTCTAACTTATTCTTTCTTCCATACCTCCATATCCTGTCATGTCAAGATCTCAGTTTTCATAAGGGGAAAAAAAGATATGACTGTGTTACATGTCAGTGCTGTAAAAGATCTCATCTCTCGTGTCTTCTCGTGCTGCTCTGGCGCAGGGGACATATTCAGTGGTGATTTGGTGAGTGATCACTGCTACCAACATCATCATGATTTTCTCTTGGGTGGGAAACATGCCCTCCCCCCGTCTCTAAGCAGCATTTGATATTTATTACATCATTCAACAGCCATACACAATTATCAGTTTAGAAAAATAGCTTGCCATACATCTATTGAATTTTGAGTCCATCCTGCCTTGCTACCTGGTCAGGGCCAAACCATATGTTTTGTTGTTGCTCTTTTGGTTTGCAAGGCTTTATGGCCTACTGGCCATCTATCTCACCCCTGCTAGGTACTTGGACATTTGGCTTGTCGCCCAGGCCATTCTGTACAGTATAAAGCCCGAACCATTTCCCATGTCACACTGAGCCACTTCGGAACTAAGGTCTTGTTTTCCCACAGATTACTTAATCCACTGGCACATTCTGTAGGTCATTGATTTTAACAGATAATCAAATGCTTGATGAGAAATTCGGTATGCCTGCACATGCCCTGTTCCATTCATCAGCAAGGAAACACATATTTCTGGGTTCTTTGTTCTTTGGAGCTTGAGTTGGAGCTTAATGAATTCTACTTTCTAATCAATTTACTCTGTTTTTTTGTCCCTTGCAAATTGATGCCAAATATATTGATTTGAAACTTTAGACTCTTTCTGCCCTCTCTCACCATAGATTTACCCTGCTAGGTTGGTTGGTATTATTATTGTTCTCTTTATGATTTTACAGAGAACAGCTTTGTAATGATATCTCAAATTCTTTCTGTATCGTAAGCCAAAGATTTTAAAATTTTAGTATTGAGATCTTCAAAGAGCTGTTCCTGATGAGGGTAATATAAATACTTACTATAATAGAAACTGAGATTGAAAAATAAAATAAATAATAAAAATTTTAATGTAAGTAACATTATATGAGAATCATTAAAAATAGATTGACATGAAGAGTGGCTTTTTTTTTTGCAGATTTCTTTAATATCAGGCTTAATCGAATAGTTGGCTTTTCTTGTTGGTTTCTGTGTTTAATCTAATTGATGTATTTGAAGTCCAGTGAAAAAAACAGCCTCACACAGATGTGTAGTTGTAAAGGACGCAGGAAAAAGGCTATTTGTATTATTATGTGTTGTTGGATGCTGTACCAAAGCTAAACAAGGATAGTTTCTGACAGTTTAGTAGCAAGGTAGAATCTGAGTCCATGTCTTTGGAATTTCACATTGTGTTACATTAGAATCTGTTGGTCTCCTTTTTGAGTTTTGGAACTTCCCATGCATGCTTTTGCGTTTGACATTTGGAAACTGCTAATATGCTAAGTTATATAGGCCTTCCAAATGTTAATACTCTTAACTTTAGAAATGTTTACATCATGTTTAATATAGTCAACAAGCACATTAGAAAAGAAAAACATTTGAAAGATGAGAAACCGTGATGTCTCGTTG